CTGTCCTTGCTCCGTCCAAAGGTCAGCAGATCAGAACACATGCTGCACAGTTTCAGAGAGGAATTCTGCCATTTGTGTAATTTGGGCCGTCCTCCTGCTGCATCAGTGTGTGTGTGTGTGTGTGTGTAGGCGTGTAAACAAGAGCATGTTGGTGTGTGTGTCCTCATTGCATAATGAAGATCCCACCTTTCAGAGTGCCATGTCCTCCCACTCTTACTTTCCCTGGCTGTCAGTCATCCCGTCCTCTCCGCTCTCCTCTACCTCTAACATTTCCCACTGTCTCTTTCTTCCTCTCCGTCCGTCGCTCCTTCCCTCAGGCCATGTGTTTATTTCTATCTTCCCTCCATCTGTTGGTATCCGTGTTGAAGCTACCAACTGCTCCTCCATTTGCCTCACATCACAGGTGTTCTTCTCTCCTCAAACTTTTTTTTTCTTCCCTTTTTATGTGCAGTTTTTATCTCTGTCTGATTTCCTGCTGGCTTTCATTTGGATATTTTTCCCCCCTTTTTTTTATTATTATTATTATTTTTATGGGACATTTGTTTTTTAATCTTTAAGTAGAAGAAACACAATCTGTGTGCGAATTGCAACGGGCTGTCTAACGATTGAAATAAATCGATTACTAGCTGTTGATTAATCATGATTAATTCAAATGAATCAACAAGCTCCTGTACTGGAACAGAAAGACCAATAACAGCAGTTCGATGTCATGCGTTTACTAATCCATATGATGGGAATATTAATATGGAATAATGTGAGGATTTTTTTTTTTTTCTAAATTATCCGTACCATCTAGACCTGGTCTGAGTCAAGCTGAACGTCTGACCTGAATTTGAAGCCTCCGCAAACACGTGCTGGGAGTTGAGATTTTATTTTAAGATCAAGACGCTCCTGTGAAATGAAAACGTATTATTGGCAACACAGTGGTTCAGGCCAGACCTCTGAACATTTGAATCAGAATCATTTCACCGACAGAGTGTTGGGGCTGCTGCGTTACATTAGCAGGTACATTTTGAGGAGGTACGACTGTCCACTCTCTGTCTGTCGTCTGTCTGTCTGTCTGTCGTCAGGTTTGTCCGTCCTTTGTAGAGCTTTCACACAAGCTGAAATTCACACTACCATTCACACCTACTGTGGCGTCCGTCTCTTCAGAAGCTTCCAGATCCCTGATCTCGTGAGGCTCCCAGAGAAAACCCACACATTCACATACAAACAAACACACAGTGACCTTCTGGCTGCGAGGCAGCAGCGCCGAGGACGAGGACGAGGACAGGGCGAGTGCGTTGTTAACCACGGGGACGTGAAAAGACTCACTGTCTCACTGTCTCACTGTCTCACTGTCTCTTTTCATTTTCTCTTTTCGTCTCAACTGCCGCGGTCATTTCAACGTCGGTTTAATGCCTGAACGTTTTTAAATCTAAACAAACAGCTCTTTATTTTATGAAAAAAAACTGCGTGTTTTCTTTAGTGAGTTTGTTTTTTTAGTTTTCATCTTAACGACAGGCTTTTTATGTCCGTTTCGGGGGAACCACAAGGAGAGCTGTACACACACACACACACACACACACACACACACACTGTCAACTACAGTGAAGTTGCTGCAACACTGACACACACTCCTTTAGTGAGACTCCTACTCACACTCTTGTCCCCTGTCACACACACACACACACACACACTCCGGCTCCACTCATCACAGTGTGAGTGAGTGTTTTATTTTTGTGTGATGAAGAGAGAAGAAGTGATGCAGGTTAGAGGAGGGGGGGGGGGAGACGCAGCAGGGGGTCGTGGGAAAATGATGTGGAAGTAATAGAGTTACTAGAAGATTTAATAAAAAAAATGGAGGGTGGGGGGGGGGCAGTCCCAGGTAACAGGTAACATTATTATTTTTTTATTTTTTTTTGCAGTTGAAAAATCCTTGTAATGACTTTCCATAGGGGAGATTCTCGTCCTTGTTACTATGACAACGGATGAAGGCCAATATTGTTGGAAAATACCAGCGGCCTGAGGCTACCTGGGGGTGTGAGAGGTGTAGTGTGTGTTTACGTGCGCTCTTTGATGTGTCTGAGTGGGAGACGACAGCCCAGGGTTTGTTCTTACATAAAACCAACGCTTTGTTTATTCAAACGAGGCCGTGGAGTTTGTGTCTGTGTGTGTGTGTCTGTGTGTCTCTGTGTGTGTCTCTGTGTGTGTTTGTGTCACATGAGCAGCCGTGCTGTGGTGTCAGTGTTTACGTTCAACTTTATGGCTTCCTGCTGGGCAGTGATGAGGAGTTCACGAAGGAACGACACCAAACTGTTGGCTCCAGGAGTAGGGAGAAGATCGAGCGGCTAGTGATGTCTGGGAATGGAGTTAGAGCCGGGATCAGAAATGGAATTGGAAGTTGAATTGGAATCAGAATCAGAAATGGAATTGAAAGTTGAATTGGAGTTGGAATTTGAAAGGGAATTTGGAATCAGAATTGGAATTCCTATTGGTATCAGAATTAGAGTTTGAATCAGATTTTGTATTGGAATCGGAAATGGAATTGGAGTTGGAATTCGAAAGGGAATTTAGAATTGAATTGGAATTTGGAATCAGAATCGGAATTCCTATTGGTATCAGAATTAGAGTTTGAATCAGATTTTGTATTGGAATCGGAAATGGAATTGGAGTTGGAATTCGAAAGGGAATTTAGAATCGGAATTTTAGAGTTTGAATCCGATTTTGTATTGGAGTCCGAAATAGAATTGAAAAGTGAATTGGAATCAGAATTTGTATTAGAATCGGAAATGGAATTGGAGTTGGAATTCGAAAGGGAATTTAGAATCGGAATTTGTATTGGAATTGGAATTTTAATTGGAATCAGAATTGGGATCAGAAATGAATTTTGACTTGGAACTGGAATTGGGATTCGAATTGAAAAGGAATGAAGAAATTCACTTAGAAATGAAAATGATAAATGAAATGGTATTATAATGGGAATACTTGTTGTTTTCACCACCAGTTACTGGCTGATGCCATGTCATTTGCGGGACATTTCAAGTCAATTTTCTTTTTTTTTATTGGAAAAAACACAATATTTATTTTTAAAAAAGTTAAATAAAAAAAAGTATAGTAGCAAGTACAAAAAGTATAAAACAAATATCTAAACGATGACGTGGAGAGCTGGGCTCTGGAGCAGGTCTGGGAGAATCAACATGACCTGTTCTACTTGATTCTACTCTAGAAATAGAATTTGGTTTGTAGCAGTGAAGTCAGCTTTACAAAAACGTAGAAAAGTAAAAAATATTTCACCACGAACCACAGACCACAGAGACCCTGACTCTGAGCCGTGTCACACACGAGGACCTGCACTCTGATCTAATCTACGCACACACACATCTGTGGGGTAAAAAACTCATCAAGTCCTGCATCATCTTATGGCCCACGCCTGGCCATTATCCTCCAGTGTTCTGGATCTGGATCTATTTCTAAGTACTTTCCTCTTTCTGTTCTCCCCTCAGACTTGTTGTTTTCTTCATTTTCATTTGGCAGTTGTTGTTGTTTTTTTTTTGTTTATGTCTGACGTCTCATCTCATCATCGTGTTTTCCACGGTGGTTGTCTCATTTCCTCCATTAAATTCGGAGAGGCAGATATTGCGTGGAGAGTATAAATGTTACACAGAAGGTGATTCCCGGTTTTCTGACAGCTCCGTGGATGTCGGCGCCGCGGCTCAGGGAGCGAGGGGGAAACACCCGGGCGCACGAAACAAATCACAGCAGCACAGCCGTCATCAGCCGGGCCACTTTGTGGAGATTGCACAAGGAACCCTGCTGGAATCGAATAGACGCGGCGCGTATACACAAACAAACCCCTTCACACACACACACACACACACACGTATGCCACATACATACATACAAAGACCTCCTTGACAAACCAATCAGCACCTCGCTGCGTTTGACTGAGCTGGACCATTTTGAACACAAACACGCACACAGCGGGTTCCACGCAGCGCGGTGCAGTTTGAAGACGGCCCCGAACTGTAGCACTGAACACACACTTCCCATCAGCCGCCGTCATTTTTTATTTATACTTGTTTTTCAATATCAAACAAATGACGTGAAGGGCCGTGAGGACGTGGAAGAAACTCAGCGTCTCATGGAGACGGGGCTTTTTTTTTTTTTTCCCTCTGTGAACACACGAACAGACCAATGTGTAAACAAACGTGTGAGTTAAATATCGTACGTTTTATCGGATCAGGATTTTTAACTAATCACGTGGTTAAACAATTTTCAATTGTTTTTTCCAGATTCCAGATTTTTTTTTTTTTGAGG